TAGAGTACAATGATATATTGTACTGAATTATCTCGGATATAAAGTATGTATGTACATATATTCTTGATCAGCATTAACAGCGATTTTATAAAGCCGTCTGTCCGTATGAGCGCGTGGATCTCACCTACTTTGAGAGATGAAGCTATACGAGACATGGAGACTTCTATAATGCCCACGCAGGTCAAGTTTGTTTCAAATTTTTGCCACGCCCTCATCCGCTCATATAAATTGCAAATTTTTGTAGCGCCAGTAAGTACAGGAATGTTTTTTGAAAATTTGTTGATGCCAAACTATTTCTATACGTAATTTATATGTGAATAAAAAATTTCATCCAAATCGTCAGATTTTTAAAGAAAATAAAGAGATATATGTAAATTAAATTTTCCGTTGTGAAATTGATTTAAAATTGTTAAACGAAATTAAAAATTATAATTTTGTTATTTTTTTTTTTTATTTTTACTTCCTAATTTACTATTACATTTTTCACTCAGCACTTAGTCACTTAGTACTGTTGCTATACCGAACGGTTTCACGATTAAAGATCGACTAAATCAGATTGAATTTGGATACATCATCAAACCTCGGCTGAAAAGAATTATTTTTTAATTTTGTAAAAGACTTTTTGAGATTCTAAAGAGTCAGAAAACGAGCGATCCAATTCCAAATTAAATTTCGAAATTCAATAAGCTTTTTAATTTGAAAAGTCGCTGTGGAGCTGGGAGTCGTAGAATGTTTATGTGTACTTTAAGTGGACCGAGTTTGTTTATAAGTTGCACAAGACGATCCGCAAGATAATTGAATATGGCCTGATATGTGTTTATCTTTTCAGAGGTTTTTTATTAATATCTGCAAAAGATTGAATTTTAAAAGAGCGTGAAAAATGACGCTAAAGAAATCCACATATATTTGGAATTAATATCTGCAGAAGATTGAAATTAATCTCGTCAAAAATTTCCAATTTAATTCTAAAAATGTCCAATTATATTGAGAATGTTGACTGGGAATATTGCATTCAGAAATTGTTTTAAAGTCAGTGGGATTCTCGTATGCCTTATTTGGATAAATCGATTTACATTATTTATATTATTAAAAGCAAGTTGTTTGATTCTACTTGTTTGATAAAATATATTTGAAAATTTTAAAATTAATAAGCTTCCGAGCTATTATGTAATTTTATATTTTATTCTCAATATTTGTTTAAGGGGGGACATCTGAGTAACAGGGGGGAAAATGAGGATTTTCTTGATTTTTTTTTGGCCAAATGTAAATTAGGTTTTTATAATATTAGATGCGAAGTACAAAAAAAAATTTCTTTTCGAATAAATCGAAAACAAAATGGCGGCTGTGCAGCATTTCTTCGTAGGCCCTATTTTTATTAAAGGGGGTCCATGGCCGGACAGCTGAAGTCCTCAATTTTTGATGTAGAGCAATAAATTAAGTAATAAATCAAGTTTCGTTAGTTTCTACATATCCACAGCTATCGTAAAGTTACACACGTAAAATTTTTGCGATATATTGATTTTTTGCAAAATGGTGATATTTGGTGAAAAAAACGTCACAAAATTGTTGATAAAAAAAAGTTAGCAATATAAAAAATCCTAAGTGTGTCGATAGATAAAGGTATTTTAAATATACTGTCAATATTCAAAATTGATCGGTTAAGATTTGTTCAAGTTATGTTTCCGGCAGTCTCAAAAAAGTGGATTCGAGAGAAACGCGTTTCAAGAGAGTTTCAAGTACTGTGGGATATATCTGTGAGGCATCGCCGCAGAATGGAAAATTTCCACACTTAGACACTTTTGCCGGACTTTATCTTTTGATATGTTTTTTTTTAAACCCTTAAGAATTTTAAAAGCGAATAAAAAATTTTCTATTTTTTCAAAACTCTAAATAAACTCTAAAAATAAATATATATTATATATATTATTATTATTATTATTATTATTATTATTATTATATTATTATTATATATATTAATATTATATTATATTCTATATTGTAATTATCTGTCCGTCTGTCTGTCTGTTTCTACGCAAACTAGTCTCTCAGTTTTGAAGCTATCGTCTTGAAACTTTGCACACACCCTTCTTTCCTTTGCACGCAGTATATAAGTCGGAACGGGATCGGCCGACTATATCTTATAGCTGGCATATAACTGAACAATCGGAAATGGTATTTGGTAAAAATACCAGCTTTGGTATTTTTGAAGATAGAAGCTTGGTCCTATTTTTTGATTTTTCATTGAAATAAATTTGTTATATTATGATATTCTCATAAGAATCGACCAGAGGTATTGATGCCTGGGATATGAATCCGGTTTTAGTTGCAAGGGTATATCAACTTCAGCTCCGTCCGAAATAGGCTTTCCTTTCTTGTTGTGAGTCAGACTAGGAGTCCCAAATCATTTTTAAGCAATTCCAAGTAAGCTCTAATTTCTTAATTATTTTTTTATTTACTAGGAAAAATACAAATTTGTAAAAACTATATTCAGCCCTTCGGCTGAATTTCTTAATTAATTTTTTTAACTTGTTTTTTATAATTTTTTTATTTAATTTTTTTTAAGCAAATGGCACAAAGTGACTTAGACCATCTTACCTCGACTAACTACAATCAAAGATTATAGAGTACATAGATGGGACATCTCATACAAAGAAAAATTTTCTATGGCGGGTTCCAGCAGTGGAACCCGCTGGAACGAGCGGGTTCCATTGCGCGACAAGTTAAGTTTGAGATATTTTTCGCGCGACAACGAATGAGAAATAGCCGAGTGGTAGAGTGTTTGGCTGGTGTGCAAAGTAAAACGAGTTCAAACCAGGCTCGGGACATCCATTTTTTTTAAATTTTAAATCTATTTACATTATATTTGTATTCCTTTAATATGTTTTCCTAAATTTATAATCCAATAAAAAAAAATACAAAATTGTAAAATCACCTTAACATCGTCTCAGTTCGTAGTGGAACCCGCTGTAAAAATGTCTATACGTGCGGGTTCTACGGCATTTTGGCAGGCCACGTCGTGGAACCCGCTCTAAAATTTTTTCATTTTTTCCGTCGTGGAACCCGCTGTAATAATGAAAACATTTGAGAGCGGGTTCCACGACAAACAGCTGGCAGATGAGAGGGGGAAAGAGAGAATTCTATTTTTAGATCGTAACATCTTTGGAACGATGAAAGTTTGAAACGTTGTAATCGAACCAATGTAAGAGTAAAGAGATCAGAAATATCTTTTACTATCCTTACTCGTTAGCTCTGTTTTTGGTATGGATTCTAGCGCCTCCTCTAACACCAATTTTAAGTATCATAAAATTAACTTCGAGGGCAGCCTAGATGGATAGTGCGCGGTCCCTTATTCATGGGGTCCTGGGTTCGATTTCATTAGCGGGCGGTTGCTTCAATTTTGATGAAGTTGTAGTTTTATGATTCTTTTTATATTTACTTATATTTATACCCTTGCAGAGGGTATTATAATTTTGGTCAAAAGTGTGCAAGGAGACATCTCCGATCCTATCTCCGTGAAGGAGACATCTCCGATCCTATAAAGTATATATATTCTTGATCAGGATCACCTCCTGAGTTGATATGAGCATGTCCGTTTGTCCGTCTGTCCGTCTGTCTGTCCGTCTGTCTGTCTGTTTCTACGCGAACTAGTCTCTCAGTTTTGAAGCTATCGTCTTGAAACTTTGCACACACCCTTCTTTCCTTTGCACGCAGTATATAAGTCGGAACGGCCCGGATCGGCCGACTATATCCTATAGCTGCCATATAACTGATTGATCGGAAATGGTATAACTTTGGTGTTTTTAGAGTAAGAGAGTTCATTTGACATGAGAGCTATTTTTGGCAAAACATTACGTCATGCCAAATTTCATAAGGATCGGCCGACTATATCCTATAGCTGCCATATAATTGAACGATCGGAAATGACCCAACTTTCGTGTTTTAGAAGATAGAAAGCTGGAATTTAATACAGATTCTATTTTTGGTCAGTTGATCCAACCTATTAAATTTCATTAGGATCGGCGGACTATATCCTATAGCTGCCATATAACTGAACGATCGGAAATTGTATTTGGTATAAATATCAACTTTCGTATTTTTGGAGATAGAAATTTGGGACTTTTTTTAGATTTTGTATTTTAATAAATTGGATTATATATTCCTATTCCCATAAGGATCGGCCAACTATATCCGATGTTTGCGATATATATCTGGTTTTAACTGCAAGGGTATATCAACTTCGGCTCCGCCCGAAGTTAGCTTTCCTTTCTTGTTTTTATTAATTTTTTTTTTTTTTAATTTTAATTTTTACGTTATTATTATTCTATTACAATTGTTGTAAAAATAAGTGACGGACGTGTCGGATGACAAAATGCCGGAAGGACTTCCTCGAAATTTAGTAGCATTTTATTAGCGGGACATAATGAAGAATAAAACAATTTACCAATTGTAAAATTAATGAAAAATATTACAATTATAGAAAAATAAAAGAAAAATAATAATTATAAAAGAAAGAAAAAGTTCAAAGTCCTTACCAGGATTTGAATCCTGTCACGACCTGCAGCGATCAAAAATACTATTTGTTCTACCAACTACCACATCGGCGCATCGAAAACAGAAACGAGAAATTGAAATTGAAATTTGGAAGCCAAAACATTTTTACTCCGTCGTGCGAGCAGTCACACATACATACATAGGTTCACATTTTTGTTGACGGATACATGTAAAGAGTTCTAAAAATAGAATCGTATGCAAGTGCGTTCCCCCCTCACCAACAAGCTCGATGTAAAAAGTTGACCGTTTTGGGCCCTGATGTCCCATCTATGTACTTTATAATCTTTGCTACAATTTATTCTCGCGAGTATAAATTTTACTTTCCCGTGTGCTGTCTGTGGGAAAAGCTTTACGTCACGAGTCGGACCAAGACAGCATAGGCCTCGTTCAAAATATTGTATAAAAAAAATATTTTCTAATTCATAATTTTTTTTTTTTATTTATTTCAGCTTATGGACTCTCAGAGAAATTTGTAAACTAGCCTAGTTTTGGTAAACTAGGATAATTATAAATGTTTGCGTAAAAAAAAAGCAAACGCAAAGTTCCCCAATGTGCATTATGTCTAAACTAAAAGATTGGGCAAGTACCCTTTTAAAAAGCTTACGACAGTAAAACACTGCCAAAAATTAAATTATAAAGTGTATAAAAAAGTTCGATTAGAAACGCGACTGATAAAATGAACTTATAACGAATGTTAAGTGAATCAGCTGATTAATAACTTGAAAATATAATAGAACATTTTTATAAAGTGAATTAGTGGAGAGATTACAAAGACTAATAACTAATCATAATAATTTACACTTTAAGACTTAAACCAAAAATTATACAATTTCTTAATACATCATGTGGACAAATCTTGAATTGGTTATTCTAAGCCTTTTTACGCTATGGGTTTTAGCAACAGCTGTCGGTGGTAAGTATCGTTTCGCTATAAATTTTTGTTAACCTTTTTAAGGTAATTTTTATTAAAACGTCCTTTTTTTTGAGTATAGGTTTTTTTTATATTTTCAAGAGCAACCCCGTGAACAACATAGACGCTCCGCGGCGTAATAGCTATAATTTGTTGATTAATTTTGACACTCCCTTTTTGGAGAAACACAGACAACAGCGGTTATTCCCACACTGGCCCTTTTTTAGACAAGGTGGCGTAAGAGCAGAAGTCAAATAAAAATAGCAAAAACAGTCTTTAATGGAAACGAAAACTTAGATACAAACGTTATTCTTTGTAAGGTGTCTGTCTTCTTCTTACAGCTTTTGCTTTACCAGTGGGACAGTTATACACAACTTTTAATAATTTATAGCTTAGCACACTCAATGGCATCTCGCCGGGTGTCACCAAAGGGAAAACAGTTATAAGGTGTCCGAAATACGTATGCAGGACACTACATTTAATTGTTAAAAAACCGGTTTTATATATTTTAAAAACTAAATTTAGTAACAATATCAAAGTGATCCAATTTTCAAAAGAAATACGTTTTTTTTTAAACGTTGCTTTTACACTGACGAGCAAAACTGTAACACGAGTTCAATGTTTCAACTTCAAAGGTCTGTAACTTTTTTTTTAAGGCACGCATTTTAAAGATCTTAGTCTTTTTTTGTACGTTATATAATTTACTACTATTGAGTTAAACTAGAAGCCATTTTATATAGGTTAAAGAAAATGACACGCCAAACTGTAAAAAAAGTCAAATGTTACAGTTTTGCACTCTTGTTATTTTTTTAACAAATATTTTTATTTATTGTTTTTTAATAATGAGTCCACATTCCTTTGGACTTTTTCAGCTCTTCTATGGGATTGGGCATACTTTGGGTATACCGTTGTACCATTTCCGGTGGAACAGCATTCCATATGTCCTGTTTCCGTTCCCACAACTCCTTCACTCTACTTGGAGGAACTGCATATTTCAACAGCCGCGATTTCACAGGACTCCACAAGTTTTTTATTGGAGTCATGTCGGGATATTGTGGTAGCCACTTCATAGATTGAAATACTCCAAGTAGAGTGAAGGAGTTGTGGGAACGGACACAGGACATATGGAATGCTGTTCCACCGGAAATGGTACAACGGTATACCCAAAGTATGCCCAATCCCATAGAAGAGCTGAAAAAGTCCAAAGGAATGTGGACTCATTATTAAAAAACAATAAATAAAAATATTTGTTAAAAAAATAACCAGAGTGCAAAACTGTAACATTTGACTTTTTTTACAGTTTGGCGTGTCATTTTCTTTAACCTATATAAAATGGCTTCTAGTTTAACTCAATAGTAGTAAATTATATAACCTACAAAAAAAGACTAAGATCTTTAAAATGCGTGCCTTAGAAAAAAAGTTACAGACCTTTGAAGTTGAAACATTGAACTCGTGTTACAGTTTTGCTCGTCAGTGTATTTCTTGAATCTTTTCTTTGCGAGACTAACAAGAGGTGTATCAAATCTTATATTTTTAACGTAACAGTCATATTGATTGATACCGAGTTAGACGACCCTACAAATCGATTGCTGGGTTGGGAGGTCGTTGCGTCTCAGGCGGAATACGCTAGAAACCCGAGTCAATCCCCGAGCTAACCGGTAGAACGAATGACTTTGCTTGCGAGACGTGTGCGAAAAGCAAAATATGCGTGAAACAATCCCTAAAAGTGGCGGAGAATCGTTCGAGCAAAGTGGGACTGATCCATACGGACGTATGCGGTCCTATGAGTACAGTTTCCAAAGGTGGAGCGCGTTATTTTGTTACATTCATAGACGAAAAGTTTCGTTGTGTGGAAATGGAGCATGATGGTTCACGCTAATGCGAACGAGTACTTGTGGGGGGAAGCGATAATGACTGCGATGTATTTGAGGAACCAATTAAAAACGCCTACATTGCTAGACATGACTCCATACGAAGCATGGTTTGGGAAAAAGCCCGGCGTATCCCATCTTAAGGTGTTTTGGTACAAAGCAAAGATTATAAAGTACATAGATGGGACATCTCATACGTCGTGGAACCCGCTGTAAAAATGAAAACATTTGAGAGCGGGTACCACGACAAACGGCTGGCAGATGAGAGAGGGAAAAAGAGAATTCTATTTTTAGATCGTAACATCTTTTGAACGATGAAAGTTTGAAATGTTCTAATTGAAACAGTGTGAGAGCAAAGAGATCAGAAATATCTTTTACTATCCTTACCCTTCCGCTCTGTTTTTGGTATGGATTCTAGCGCTTACTTTAAAACCATTTTTAAGTATCACCAGATCAACTTCGAGGGTAGCTTAGATGGATAGTGCGCTCTCCTTATTCTTGGGGTCCTGGGTTCGATTATCGGGCGGTTTTTTCAAGTTTTAATCTAATGATTATTTTTATGTTTACTTTTATTTTTTTATTAATATTTTTTTTTTACTTTTTACATATTAACTTTATTATTATTATTTTTAATTGCATTCTATTAAAATTGTTGTAAAAATAAGTGACGGACGTTTCGGATGACAAAATGCCGGACGGACTCCTTTGAAATTTTATTAGCTGGACATAATTAAAAATTAAACAATTTTACAATTTTAAAAATAAAGAAAAGTATAACAATTAAGGAAAAAAAAAATAATAATAATTATAAAAAAAAGAAAAAGTTCAAAGTCCTTACGAGGAATTGAGCACAGAAATATTATGCATAGAGTAACTTCTCTATGCATTACGCTACCACCCTGTCTCGATCTGCAGCGATTAAAAATACAATTTGATCTACTAACTACCACATCGGTGCATTGAAAACAGAAACGAGAAATTGAAATTGAAATTTGGAAGCCAAAACATTTTTACGCCGTCGTGCGAGCAGTCACACATACATACAAAGGATCACTTTGTTGTTGACGGATAAATGTTAAGAGTTCTAAAAATATAATCGTATGCATGTGCGTTCCCCCTCACCCACAAGCTCGACGAAAAAAGTTGACCGTTTTGGGCCCTGATGTCCCATCTATATACTTTATAATCTTTGGTACAAAGGCAATTGTGCTAGACAAGATAAGGAAAATAATATTTTCTCAGAAAGGAATAGAGCCAGGATATGGGTATTCAGTAACTGACAAAGAGTATAGACTCTTCAATCCTGATACGCAAACTATCAAGGAAGCCAGAGATGTGATGGAAATGTCGGAGATCATGCAAGGGACGTACAGTCGGGAGCCGAAGATGGTGAAGACGAATTGGTTGATAGCTTCGACAGGGTTCAGCGAGGCCCCGGTAGGCCTAAGATAATTCGTACTGGAAGGCCAGGACGACCACGTAGGGAGTACAATATGCTTAACGCTATTGGAGTTGCCAATGTCCAAGTACCGAGTGGAGTCAAGGAGGCTTTGAGCTTAAAACTTTGAGAAGTTTTGTAAATCTTCTTCCTGGCGAGAGAACTATTGGATGCAAATCGGTGTTTGCGGTTAAAGGAGACCAGTACGGCAACGTGGTTCAAGGCTCGCATAGTCGCAAAAGGTTGTGAACAGGAGTATGCCATAAACTACACAGAAACATTTTCCCCAGTGGCTCAGTATTCTTCCATCCAATTGGTGATTGCACTGACTGTCGAGAACAAAATGTTAATGCATCAAATAGACGTCGCAGCTAAGTATCTCAATAGCGACCTACAAGATGTAGTCTGCATGCGGTAATCGGAAGGGTTCGTGGACACAGCGTAGCCAAAAAGGGTGTTGAGGTTGCACAAGTCTTTATACGATCTGAAGCAGAGTGGGCGTGAGTGGAACCGGAAATTGGATTGTACTCTTCAGCGTATCAATTCAAAAGACGGGCAATTGGCCATAAGCAGTATATCGACGGGCTGTTACGAGATTATGGCATGGAAGACTGTAAGCCGAATGCAACGCCTTTGGAGGTTTGTTATCAGAACCAATGTATTTTGGAAGACTGTCCACAAGTCAACCAGAAGCAGTATCAATCGTTTATTGGACCACTGCTGTACCTAGCAATGACAACGAGGCCAGACATTGTTCATTGTGTGGCAAAGTTGGCTCAGAGGTGTAGTCACCCCCATAAGGAACATGTGGTGGCCGCTAAACGCGTCCTTCGTTACCTAAAAGGAACTTCGGGCTTTAAGTTTCACTTTGTTCGAACTGGTGTGCCTTTTCACGGCTTTGTGAATTCAGACTGGGCAGGGGACTGTACTGACAGCAAATCGTTCAGTGGTTGGGCGTTCTGTATGGCTGGAGCAGCGTTTTCGTGGGAGTCGAAAAATCAGAGCTTCATAGCACTCAGTAGCACGGAGGCTGAGTATGTGGCGCTTTCAGCAGCAGCTAAGGAGCCTTACGTGATGAAACTGATATCTGAGATGGGTTTCGCGACGGCGCCAACATTGATGATCTACAGTGATAACTTGAGCGCCCAATTTTTAGCTAAGAATGCGAGTTTTCATGCTAGAAGTAAACTTGTAACCATCGAACTACTGAACTGAGCGGACGTGCTTTGCCCGAGTTCCGGGAAAACTGCAACCTAAAACAGTCAATAAAAAAAAAACTGGGGCAACCCAATATAAGCAAAAAGACTCTGAACCACAATTGATTAGAAGCAATAGACAAGCTTTTTATAACAGTTGTGTTGTGTTAAACCAAAACTAGTGCATTGTTTTAAATAAATAAGTGCCAGGCAATGAGATCATTGAGCAACGATCAAAAGAACGAACGTAGAAGGTCAGTGAACCAAAGAAACCGCTTCTTCTCTTATTTTTCAACCCGCGATACCAAAGTGGAAAAATCGGCGATTAAGAGCAACCTGGCTCTACTGACCGATGAAACCCAAAGGGCACGGTCCGCTCACCCGCTCTGTTCACTCCGACTCCCGCGTCATGGAGTTCGCAGCTTAAAATCCCTCCTCCAATATCGGAAACAAATTTCGCACCAACAACTAGCAGCGCTACAATTTCTGCAATCACAG